CTCTCTCTCTCCCCCTCTCTCTCTACCCCTCTCTCTCGCTTTCTCTCACTTTTTGCCGCTCGATAAAAATAAACGGCACGCCGCTCTAGTTTTTGGCGCTGCGACGGCACCATTAGAGGGCTGCTGCTCGCGCGCAGGTGCAGCTTCCCACACCACGCTCCGGCGGCCCCCGTCTGCATTACATAATCAACCTCGCTTGAGGGCCGCGCGCACCCCTTCTAGCGCCCCGCTCCAGGTCTCGGGGAGGGGGAGGGGAGGGGGTGGGGAGACAAAACGCGTCATTTGTCGCATTGTGCCTGGCGAGGCCGGCAGAGCGTGGCGGAGGCTGTGGCTGGCGAGGGGTGCTCATGCTGGCGAGGCCTCTCTCCTCGCCGGGCGGAGCAGTAGGAGTTTCATGCAGTTTGACTGACAGCGACCACATGCATGTAGGGCCAGGCAGACGGAGGAGGGGGGTGTCATACCAACAACGAAAAAACAAAATTAGGACGTGTACATATATTGTGGAAGTTCCTCCACGGGGGAGAGAACGTCAGAACAAACAACGTTTAGTGTGTTGCATCCGGTTGCATCGTTCGAACCAGCGGTATAATGAAGTCGTCATATCGTCCTCATCAGCGCAGGAGACACATCACACCGGCCCGGCAAATAATGCGTTTGGCGAAATGAAAACAATAATCACACTCGCGGGGATCGAAATAAAGAAATGATGACAATAAAACACGGCCGTTAACCTTTTTCCCTTTCAATAACGGTAATAACAATGCTCATTCTAATTACCGATCAGACCTTATGAGGTGTTTATTTTTTTCCCATTCCCGTTAACGACTCACACGGGGCCACAGGGGTGCGGAGCGCCCCGACCCCAGTCGCTGCTGCCCAGCGACGCGTCGCCCCGAATGATATCGCAGTAAAACGGTCGGGTGCGGTCTGGAAGGGCCCCCCAGAGAGAGAGAGAGAGGGGGGGGGGGGTGGAGTTCGCTGAGTCGCAATGGACAGAGCGATATGTGACATATTTCAGTCGGCGTCATCAAATCGGCCCCAAGTTTCGCGACCCACCTCCCTACCACAAGCACGCACGCGCGCGCGCTCACACACACACACAATCACACAAGCACACATCCATCCCCACGGCCCGTATAACATATCCCACTCGCGAATGCCGACTGTGACTGGACCCGGGAGAGGGCGGAGGCAGAGGCAGTTGGCGTGCGCAGGAGAGGGGGAGGGAGGGTGCTAAATGCAACAAAAACTACTGCAGCTAAAAACTGCGCGCGCAGCGAAGGGGAGGGAGAGAGAGAGAGAGGAGAGAGAGGGTGGGGGGAGGAGGGGTAGCGGTGTGATAGTCGTCACGAGGGCTTAGGCCGGCATTATATCACGGCCCGTCGGCCGCTCGCGGGGTTGTCCGTCCGTCTCCCTAGTTTGAGACGTTTCCTCATCCTACCCCCCCCCCTTTCCCTTACCCCCCGGGCGGTGTCCCACATCTTTAGTTTACAAACGAGCCCCTCTTCCCCTCCTCCTCCTCGCCTTTTGCCACCCGCCACCGTAAAACTCCCACGCCCTTGTGCGACGGCAAACGAAAGAAAGTCACGAACCGCAGCAGCAGTCCGATGCATCTTCTTCTTTCCCCTCCCCCCCCCCCCCCCCCCCCTCCTCTCTCCTCCTCTCTCTCTCTCTCTCTCTCTCTCTCTCCCCCCCCCTCTTCTCTCGACCGCATATCCTCTCAACCCCATCCCCCTCCACTTCCTGGGCCCCTACGCAACACAGTTTTCGGCGGTTGCGCCTGGCTGCGGACGCCTCGGCGAATATTTGTGACCTCCCCCTCCTGTCCAGTAGGAAGAGGAGAGGAGGACCTGTAACAGGTGTGTGCTTCTCCTCGTCTCGACCTGTCTGTCTGTCTCCGTACTTCCGTCCGCCTGTCCGCATAAGAACGCTCAGATTTTTTTCCGTGCGACTGAATAACACAAGCAGTAACAGTACTGAGACCAGTGAAGTTTCCTCTCCCTCTCTCTCTCTCTCCCTCGCTCGACACTTTGCTCAAAACCGGAAGTAAAGGATGCTCCACGTCGGAAGCTCTCGCGGTAAGGCTGGCAGCGGTGGGGGTTTTGGGGGAGGGCTTAGGGGGAGAATGAGAGGCGGTCATCTGGGAAATCTGAGCTGCGGCGAAAGGGA